GCAAGGCGCCCGCCATTTTGGTGGCCATGGCAACACCGCACTCCCTCCTGCACTGGGTCTGCCTGCTGGGCTGCAGAGGTAGCTCCTGCCTGGTGCTGGTCCAGCAAAGCTGCAGCCCTGTACACCACTGTGGGCACAGAAATCTGAAGGGCATATGACCCCCGCCAATACATTGCCTAGGCATTGCTATGCCCATACACCTCCTGCCCCAGGCCTAGGGACAGTGGGTCACAAATGAGGGGCACCGGCAAGGCTGGGATGGGGGGGCTGTAGGTCAGGAGTGAGGCACCAGCAGTCGAGGCTGTGGGGCAGGAGTGAGGGGCACCATCAGGGCTGGGAGGGGAGGGGGAGCCGTGGGTTGGGAGTAAGGTGCAATGGCATAAGCAGGGGCATCACACTGGCATAGCAGGGCTGCACAGCACCATAAAGCAGCTGGGGGGAGAGCTGCAGCTGGACACATCCTGGTGACTGAAGGGAGCAGGGGAGCTCTGATTTTCCATTGTAAAAAAAAAATCAAAATCAAACATCAAAATATACCGCTATTTAGGATTCATTTTATTATAATGACTGAAGCACTGGTAGGCTTCCCAAATTGCTTTAAAACTAAATATATCAATAAAATATTTGTGCTCAACTGATTGTTTTATTTCTCTCTCTCTCTCTCCCTTTCTATATATCTATATATATATCCATATCTGTCTATAGTGGCATTTCATATTAATTGTGGGGAGAAATGGGGATTTTGTGTTTTTTTTTAAATCAGAGAATTTGGAGTTTGTTAACATAGAAATTGCAGATAAGTAATGACACCTACAGACACAACTTGTAAAAAGATTTAATAGATCTCTTAACATGGTTACATTAGGCTCCTGACTCTCAGGAGTAACAACTTACTCACTGAGCAATCCCATTATTTCAGTGGGACCACCCTTGGAGTACATTAGCCTCTAATTCAACCCCCTATTAGACTCTGGCCCTTTAAAGGCTTTTAGAATAGAAGACTTTCCGCCAGTTAACACAGGTTCAGATTTTTTTCAAAACCCTTACAAATACTGAGAATTAAATGGTTGTCCTGAATCTGTTGGAACACCCAACACGTTCTAAGGAGGTCAACAATAATAGCCAATCTTTCTACTTAAGTTGATGGTACACATGGTCCACTGCAGCTCCCAGATATAGGATTTTAATTCTACATTTTAAGATCTTAATGTTAGAAAATAACTGGAGTCTCAGCAAATTGAGCCTAAAAAGTTGTTTGTAAAGATACTCTCAAACTCACTTAACAGATTTGCTTTAAAAGTTCTCACACAAGACTGTTCCACAGGCAAACAATCATCATAATTGAAGGCTGGTCTTCTGTCAGTCTCTCCATCAAATGACAGATGAGCATTCAGCACCAGCTGAAGCACATGTGTAGTCTTTAAGAGCAGCTGCAAACAGCACTGCATTCATCCATAAATTATTAATACTTCATATTTTGTACACTGCATCCCTCATTAAAGGATCCATTAGACATTAAGACCAAACACGTATTTAAATATACATATATATGAATTTACACTTGCCACAGCAATAAAGACATTTATTCTCACTTGGGCTCTATAGGACCAAGAAGACCCCTGAGTCATATGCACAACAAAATCAGGTTTGTCATTTCAAATTCAAAATAAATAAGTAGTAAATATCCCTGTCAGTTAAAAGATCCCTTAAAAGCTATTATTTAAAGAGCTTTAAAATACCAGAGAGAGACAGCAACTGCAAAGAACCACTCAAGCCATGAAAGGGTAAGAGCCAACACCAACAATTATCTGTGGACACATCAAACCTTCAGCTATAATGGTCAGTGAAACGGAAGGATTTAGGTTCAGAAATGGTACACATGATATTCTGGATTTGTTTTGCTCTTCTGGCTTCTAACCTAAGGTGCCTTGATCGTTCCTTGGCAGCCAGTTCTTCTGCACGCTTTTCCTTCCTCTTTCTTTTTAACCATCTGTGGAGAAACAAACACATTTGGAAACACTGACTGAGTGGCTGTAAGCTCTCTGCCTCTTTCATTACTTGCTGCTCTCACTTCCTGTACTCATGGTAGGACCACACTTCTCTTAAATAATTTGGGCTGCAATATGACCAATTAACTAAAGCCATCTTGGCCCTTAGTAAATAGGCTACATTTAGGAATTAACTGTTTGCTGGAATACGAACATGAAGAATACTACCAGATAGGTCAATAAGGGTGCTTGAGCAGTAAGAGGGCCAGGGGGCAAAAGGACTTTTGCCTAAAGCAATTTCAGTCCCATTTAGACAAATCTTCACTGATATCCAGCTACGTTTCTTGTGTAACTTCTGCTAATGGATCTCTCCCTGACTTGGAAGTCATGCAAGAAGTGGCAATATTAGAAAAAGCACCGGGGAGGGCACAAATTAGACATTAAACTATTTAAAGCATTTGTGGGACTTATTGCTAGGTGAAAAAAAAAATCACTCTGCACAATACTGTGTGCCTTGACTAAAGACGTATTATACAGCATATAGCATACAGCATATTATAGTGGTATTTTTAAATAAAAACTACATCCATAAGCACTTCTGAAAGTTAAATAGTGACAGAAAGGGAGAAACTGGCACAAAATAGAAGAGAAGTTTTAAACAGAGATTTGGAATGAAAAACAGCATCAATGAGGTAGAGACAAAGCAAGGTTGTTCCAAGGTGTAGGAGGACACAAACATCCATGAGAAGCAGGAACAGAGATGGTGCTGGTTTTCAAGTCTTTGTAGAAATTCTCCTCTTTCCCCCACCCAGTAGCATAACTAAGAGTGTACAACCAAGGTACAAGCCCTGGGTGCCCACTAAAAGTGGGCACAAGAATGACACCACCTGGGTCACTGCCACCCTCCAGAGCACAGAACCTGGTTGTTATGCCTCTGCCCCTACCTACTATAATATAGTATATTATTCAACTATATTACTCCCCTCAAACATTGTAGATTATGATTTGTATAAAGACAAAGACTTTACAAATGAAGCTGCATTGTAAAGTATTTGCAATGTTAGCAGCTGACCAATACAATTTTCAGGTATTTTTGTTTCCTAGGCTACAACAAGGAGCTCTGACTCACTCTCTAAAGGCTCTGTCACAGTCCTCTGTTCTTGGAAAGAAGTTCACGGACTGTTCCTGGTGTTTCAAAAATTCCATCTGTTTTTCTTTCAGGTGTTCTTGGTGCTTTTTTTTAAGCCATAACTTAAAAGCTTCCTCTGGATTTCTGTCCTCCTGCTATTTAAAGAAAAATTATAAGTCACTAACCAGGCTTTTTGTCTTTAAAATTAACATGTACTACAGTAATGCCTTAAAGTTCTCTAGCATCTTCCTTCTGGAGGTATAAAACATACTTTATGAGCAAGCTTAAACACACAAGACCAGTGAATCCTTGACAGAATGTGTATATGAACAAACACTTGAAAAACAATATACTTTAAGCACAGTACAGCAGCCTCAAAGCCCCATTGGCCATTGCCACAACGCAGGAGAAATTCAGAGCAAGGCATTTGCGCCCCAAGCTTTTGGTCACATACTAGGGATTCGTTTTCACTGCAAACGAAGATGACTACAAATGCTACAGAAGATGCTTCAAACACTTGTTTCTGGCCATAATTTACTCTAAGGCTTCAGGTAAATTATTATCATGTTAAAAGACATCATGAAGTGTCCTTCTGCCAGTGATTCCTAGTGCCATAAGGGTTGCAAGCACAGCATGTTGCATGATGTAAGTTCTTCCCATTAAACCAGAGCAATCCTGGATATTCAAGAAACCTAAGTATTTAAGTGAAAATAACAAAACAAGAAGTATTTCTTGCCATGCAAGTTTTCATAATGCTGGGCTGAACGAAATGGGTATACAGTTCCGTTTTTAGTTAACCAGTTACCCTGACCTAGACTTCTAGGGTAGGGAGGTTCTTTCTTACTCTACTGTTCAAGTCTTCCATTTCTTTTGCACGCTGAATTCGCTTTTCTTCTTGCACTTGTCCTTTTTTCTTCTGCAACCAAGCTCTAAAGACCATCTCATTCTCTCTTCTCTTCTGCTCCTCTTGTTCTCTCTTCTGTGCTTCTTCCTTGTATGAAATTAAGAGTTGAATAAAGTCAAAACCTTTGACACCTGTGAAGGGTTTCCACATCATAGTGGGCGAATGTAAACACAAGCAGCCTGAATTATATCTGCCTTGCTCAAAAAATAAAATTCTGGGGGAAATACACATACACAAATACAGCATCAAGTCAGTACTATCTTCAGGGGGGAAAAACAGCCTTAAGCACATCTGTGAGTGCCCTTGTGATTGAAGTTATAGTCAGACGTTTTCTTTCAACCCCCTGCTTTATCCCACTAACCATTTCCATAAAAATGTCCATGCTTTGTTTCAACTTACAGGAGTTTCAGCAGAAAGAGGTCATAGTTACCTTAAGCAAGACCTACCCAATGGCACTTTCATATTTAAAATCAGCTTCACTGACCTGTTTTTGAAGCCACTTAGAACACTAGAATAGACTGCCTAGACAAGTTGTAGAGACTGTCACTGGAGGTGTCTAACTACATGTTGGACAGCCACTAGTTGGAGATGATCTAGGCACAGCTGTGCCTATATTCTACTATGGATATTTTAGATGCTTTTGGGCTTTGCTAGATGCTGCAAGGGCTGGGAGGGCTGTGGGTGCAGTGGGTGTTGGCTTCAGTCAGGGCTGGTGATTTTGACTGGTGTGTGTCAGCACTCCTGTTAGGACTTAAAGCCAGAGGTTTCTGGCTACAGGGTTTTGCCCTACCACTCAGGGTCAGATCATTTGGGATCAAGAAGGAATTTTACCCCATGGTCAGATTGGTATGGACTATGAGAGTTTTTGCTTTCCTCTTGTAGCAGGGGATGTGGCCCTCTGCCTGGGATCCCTCGATCATATATTAACCCTTTTACAGAAACAGGACATTGGCTGCCATGGTCCCCCTGCTTTACCTGTGGCAGGTTAGGATGTTATGTATTGTTTTGTGTCAGGGTTGTATAGATGGATTTCTACAGGATGGTTTAGATAGGGCAAGGGGTTGGACTAGGTACCCTATGGAGGCCCCTTCCAGCCCTACTTCTCTATGATTCTATTTCCCCCCCAGCCAACATGGACCCAAAAAATCAAAAGGTCTGTAAGTTTGTTTAGACTGTTGACATTAGTCTATAACAGCAATGTCTGCAGCACGTTGTCGAGGGGGTTGTGTCTGTGCATTTAATTATGAAGGCACTGGTGGCTTGGCATTCCCCTGAGTCAGGAAGTGAACTGCTTCAGAAAAGTAGGACACAGCCTGACAAGCACATGATGATAGCAGTTCTGGCATGCAAAGGACAGCATGCAGAATTTTAGATGTATAAGTAACATTATTGGTAAGAACCGGGTACTTAAGTACTCAAGTGCCTAAAGAGGTCAGTGGGAGTCTGTGGATCACAGTCTTGGACACAGGTGCCAAAATTCCACCAACATGGCATTGTAGGTGCAATAGTGCTGTTTTGAACCTAGCCCATATTGTACACTTGCTTCTCAGCTAGCATTTGAGTCCACAACATTCAACTGCATGGAGCCCTCTAATATTTGAATGAAAGCTGTTATTCCTGTAGCTGTAAAACAGTAGTAAGCAGTCACCACATTTATAGATCAGATAATCAGGAAGCTATAAAACACAAGCAGAATCAGAAGGTTCCCCATACTTACACCTGTTAAAGTAATATTGATTTTAAAAGCATGGATCTTGGAACCAGAAGTTCTACTCCCATCTCTTCAAGCAGAAGACATTAGTACTCCTCTTCATTTCATATATCTTATCATTAATTTTGGCATCAGAAAACTACTCATGGAGGAAGAAAGGGGTCCCTTTACAAAACAGGCCACTAGTCACATAACTGTGGGGGTTGGAAGGGAGAGGTGACCGGGGCAGCAGTCCCAGGTGCCAGTTTGGTGGGGGGTACAAAAATAACAGCTGCTGTTAACAAGGCTAATATTATGCAGTACCCCACAGCACCCTTAAAAAGATCCTGACGTGCCCAGACTGAGAATCACTGAGCTAGACAGACAACTGTTCTTATCCAGTATGGCACTTATGTTCTTACATCAATAAGACCCACTTATCTCCTTTGTACTCTCACCTCTTTCCTTAGTTTCTCCTTCTTTTGTTCTATCTGTTTTTGTAGCTCTTTTTGCCTGGGCGAAAGGCAGTAGGTGGAGCTTCTCAAAGGTACATTGTCCGCAGACTGTACCCTGTGGGGAGTCTTCCCCCTTCCCACATTCTTTGCAATGCTAGTGGCTGATTTTGGACGACACTTAGGATTAGGTGGTGGCTTAGGGAAATACACACAATGTTCCCCTACAGGAGAGAAAGAATTTACTCCCCGTTGTGCTACAGACTCTTCCTTTGTTCGAGCAGGGGTGCCAAAAGCAGCAGGGTGAGAAGACCTGGGAGAGGTAGGCTGAGTTTCAATGTCTGTGAAAGAAACACTTATTGGGGGCAAAAAGCCCTGGCTCTCAATATCACGTAAACTCAGGAGTTCAAATTTTCCATCTTTCTCTACTAGGATCTTGCCATCCTTGTGCTCCTCATCCTTGCCCTCAAGTGAAGGAGCCTTGCCTTCCTGTCCTGGTTCATTAGAAATGTACAACTGAGATAGCCCAACTAAAATCTTCCCTTCACTTTCAGGATCGCTGTTGTGTGCTTCTGCATCTTCCAGAGGGGGAACTTCTAGATCTACTAGTTTCTCCTTGAATTTTAGTTTACGTTCTCTATTTTCATCCACAGGTGCTTGGTTCTCCAGGAGCTTGTTGGCGGTTTCAATCTTTTCCAGGATGTAGCGTTTTATTTCTTCATCTTCCTCATCCAGTTCCTCCTGGTTTTCCAGCTTGGACTCCTGGATGGAGCTTTCACTGTCACTGTCAGATGTAAGGTCTAGCTGCTGAACTTCTGGTGTGGCTTCCAGGTATTTTTTGTTTGTTGGACTCTCCTTCAGATCTATGTCAGGCTCAGAAAGCTGATCTATAGATTCTTCTTTTTCCTTACTATCATCACTTTCCTCACAGTCTTCCAATTCTTTATCAATTTTTGTTTCAATATCTTCTTCTTTCTAATCAGGATTTGTAAAAGGACAGAAAGTTTTGACTTTAAAATTATATAAAGAAATTTCTCATCTAAAATTACAATTGAAAACATTAATAAAGTCATAATATTAAAATATCCAATGTTAATGTATCATTAAGATTAACATGTTAAGTGCATAAAAACTGGGAAGCTTACTGTTAACATTCCCATAGAAACTAAACTAAACGCACCCTATGGAGCCTGTTCATTAAATGGACACACAACATGGGAAAGTATCTGCTGCTCCAATACTAAGGCTGTACTGAGTTCCCATTACAAGCTTGATTTTAGCAATCTCATATACAATACACAAATAGTAGACTAAGCCTCAAAATTGGCATGCCAAGTCTGTGATCAATGTAGAATTTTTCTCCATGCTTGAAATAAAATAGGACAAAGAATTCAAATGGAGTAAGAAACAGATTGAATGAAAACAAGTAAATGAAAAGAGTAGGAAGAGAGAAGTACAGATCTATTATTTAACAGGGTAAATCAGCAAATTACAGATTATACAGAGAAGACAAAAAAAAGAACAGGTTAAAGAGATTTCAATTACAAAGATACTTAGTTGACTAAGGCACTTAAGGAACTGGCTGAAGTAGTCTCTGAACAACTAGCAATCATCTTAGAATTCTTGGAAAATAAGGAGCATCCCTTAGGACTGGAGAGGCGCAAACTACTCATCTTAAAAAAAAAAAAAAAAAAAAAAGAAAGGAGAGGATGGAGCGTCCCACAGGAGTGCAGGGGGTCCATCCATGTGCTCAGCGGCAAACCAGGAAGTGGACCAGAAGTACTTCCAGTCCACTTCCGGGTCTGCCAGGGAGCACACTGGGGGGGAGCACATCTGCCTGGCTCAGCGATTGACCACAGGGGGACCCTGGGTACCCCTCACCCAGACCGAGGAGGCACCAGTCACTGAGCTGGGGGAGGTGTGCTCCCTGGCAGATCCAGAAGTAGACCGGAACTGCTTCTAGTCCACTTCCCGGTGTGCTGCTGAGCACACTGGGGATCCCCCCACACTCCTGTCGGACACTCCATGTGCTCCAGCATCGCAGCATTCATGAGCCACCTGCTACCTAGAGGTACATAGAAAAAACATTTAAGCTGTGTCTATGTCCAAATCTCCGAATCTTTCCGAATTGATTCAGAGATTAAAGGGTCCTCTGATTTGATTTGGATTCAGAGATTCGGCCGCCGAATCTCCGTCAAATCGAATCAGGGACTGAAGCCTCTCGTGGCCCTAACATTTATCTAATTTCCTTCTTTAACAGGATAACTGGCTTAGTAGATGAAAGGAAATTCAGTGAAGGGGATATATGCTGACTTTAGTAATGCTTTCAGCACTGCCACACATGGCTTTTTCATAAACACGGTAAAGAAAAATATCTAGATGAAATCAGCATAAAAGGTGGCAAAACAGCTTGAAAAACTATTCTCTGTAGCTAATTCACTATCAACATGGGAAGGCATTTCAATTGAGGACCCATGGGGTTCTTTCTTGGGCTCATTTCTCTTCAGTACTTTCACTAGTAAAATGGGTGACAGAACAGAATGTAGGCTTATAAAATTTGCTGAAAGCACCAGCAACTGTCTTGGAGACGCAGAATCAGAATTAAAAATGATTTTGACAAGATGAAGAGCTGATCCAAAAAAATAAACAAGAAAAAAATTCAATAAAGACAAGTGTGGAATCCCATACTTAAGAAGGATCAATCCAGTGTACAAATACAGAATGAGGAATATTTAGTTAGGCTTCAATATGAAAGAAAAAGATGTGGGAGTTATATTGGACCACAAGTAAAGATGAATTATCCACAATGTGATGCTCCTTATTTAGGAAGGCATTCACAGGAGTGTGTCCCATGTAAAAAAATAGGAAGCACAATATTGCGTCCTTGGCACTGATAAGGCCTCAGCTGGAACACTGTCCCATGGTGGGGCATCACACTTCAGAAAAAGCAGGCAAACCAGAATGAATCCAGAAAATAATAATACCAATAATGGGTTTAGGAAACATGATCTCTGACGAAAGGTTAAAAGCATTTTTTTTAATCTAGAAAAAGAGGAAGAAAAAGGGAAATCATAACAGCTTTCCAGTAGAAAAAAGGTCGTTATAGGGTGGGTCTACACGTGTGCTTTAATGCACAGTAGCCTATTTTACTGTGCATTAAAGTAGCACTGTAGCAAGGACCCAGCCAAGCCCTACACTTACCAGGACAATGACTGCCGGAGTGCTGTGCAGGTGGCTTACTCCCGGTCAGCCCCGAAGAAAAGCAGGGAGCCCATGGCCAACAGCACGCTCCTCTGAGCTTCCGCTTCCTGGGTGAGATGGGCTGCTGGTGAGCAGCATGCTCTCCATAGGCACATTCCCTGAGCCAGAGTAAGAGCTGGAAGTTGGGCTCTACATGGGCCTGGGACCCATCCCAAGAAGAGGGCAAGCAGCTACCACCACTGGTGCCACCTAGGGCCCAGAAGCCACAGTTGCAGGAACTGATGAGCCCTTCTGAGTCTCTCAGCACCTAGTGGTGGCTGCAAGACACGTTGGGGCAGGCAGGTATTCCTGCATAAGGTTGGAACTTCCTGCATAAGGCAGCACAAGCCTCAGAAGTGGGAAAACACTGGCATAGACATTGGTCCATGTATCATCCCTCCACCAGAACCAAGGACCTATGACCAAAGACCAGTTTGACACCGGCTCTCCCTGCAGAACCCTGACCATTACACAGCTGCTGGAGGTCAGGTGCCTTTAGGGGCCTTATAGAGGTTCATAATACCCATAGCCCCAAGCTACCCAGAAGGTGATGGCCATGCTCCAGCAGACTCAATTAATCAAGTCTGCTTCGACACACTGGAATTCCAGCACATCAGATCAGCCTCCGTACTCATATATAGGTGCCTGGAGGTAGTAAAATTTACTGCGCATTAGCAAAAGTGCATTAATGCATGTGTAGATGCAACCATAAAGTGTTAGACCTTATAGAGACAGCAACTAATTGTTCTCTGTTGCTCCAATAGCCATCAAGAAAGACCAGAAGAAATCAGATTTATTTGGAACAAAGAAACTTTAGTTTGGCAACTAGGAAAAACTTCCTATTTGAGTGGTGAAACACTGGAAAAGGATACCTGAGGTACTAGGGAATCTTTATCACTGGAAAGCAGCTTAGACAAACATCTGACAGGAGTAGTCTAAATCAGCAGTCAGCAAGGTTTTGGGGCTGCAAGCCAGATCAACTTGGCTCAGGTCCCAGTCTAGCCAGTGCTTCTGGCCTGCCCTGCTGCTGCTGCTTCTCCCCATCACCCAGCTGCAGCACATCATATGCAGAACTCCCCCTACCTGGGGGCAACGTGAGCAAAGGCTCCCTAGCCGGATATAATGGCTCCATGGACTGAATCTGGCCCATGGGCCACATCTTGCCAACCCCCAGGACTCAGTACTCGGACCAGTACTCTTTAATATATTCATAAATGATCTGGATTCAGGTGTCAGAAGCAGACTGGCTAAGTTCGCAGATGACACCAAATTATGGGAAAGCGCGGTCATTCTAGAGGATAGGCTGGTGATTCAGGCCAACCTGCACAGGCTCGCAAGGTGGGCAGATAAAAACCTGATGGCATTCAACACAGAGAAATGCAAGGTGCTCCACCTCGGGAGAAAAAACCCACATCATACTTACAGGCTCATAAGTGCTATACCACAAGATGAACATAAGCTACCAATGTGATGCCACAGCCAGCAAAGCAAATAAAACTCTGGCTTGCATCTACTGATGCAACTCAAGCAAGACCCAAGAAGTCATTCTCCTGCTTTACTCAGCCTTGGTGAAGCCGGAGCTGGAGTACTGCATCCAATTCTGGGCTCCACACTTTAGAAAGGATGTGGAGAAGCTTGAGAGAGTCCAGAGGAGAGCCACATGCATGATTAGAGGTCAAGAGAACAGGCCTTATGAGGAGAGGCTGAGAGGTATGGGACTCTTCAGCCTGGAGAAGCGAAGGCTCACAGGTGACTCGGTGGAAACTTATAAGTATATAAGGGATGTGCATCAGGAAGTGGGAGAATATCTGTTCACCAGAGCACCACAAGGGAAGACAAGGTCTAACAGTCACAAACTGCTAGAGGACCATTTTAGACTGGACATAAGGAAAAACTTCTTTATCATCGAGTCTCCAGACTCTGAAATAGACTCCCCCCAGAAGTGGTGCAAGCACATACTCTGGATACTTTTAAGAAACACCTGGATGCTCATCTTGCTGAGGTGATCTGACCCCAACTGACTTCTTGCCCCTTGGGCAGGGGGCTGGACCAGATGATCACACAAGATCCCTTCCAGCCCTAATGTCTATGAAAGTCTTCATTTTTTTCATTATGTAACAAATGTTGAAAGAAAAAAAATCTCTTTATTAAATGTATACAATCAAAATCAAGGGCAAAGAGCTAAATTTGAAGTAATACACAATAATGTTATATATGCATTCATGCCTATGGAGGAAGTATGATCTGCATTATTTGATGCCAGGATCATGGATCAGCCTTTGAGAGTTGCAACCAGTTTTCCATTCTAAGCCATATTTCTGAACTCTTGTAAATTTATTAAAATAACCACATTATCTTAAAACCCTAGTTGTCAAGAAAAATGTTTGAAGACATGGACACATGCTTTTTGGACTCCAGCGATGGTATACATAGATCTGAAACGTAAGTTCACTCACAACTGTCTACAGTGCGAATGATCCTCATATTCCATAGTGAGAGAATGAAAAATCAAACAAGCAAAATAGATTTGTTTAGTCTTCTTTTTTTTTTTAACTTATCCAAGATACTGTCTATAATATGTATAGACATTAATTAAATATATATATAAAAAAATATACACCTTACGTTGTTGGAATCTTTATGACTATTTGGACAATCTTAACTCTGAATCTTTTGGGGATTTTTTGCCATTAAGCTTATAGATTATTTTTTCATCAAGTTGAAAATAGTCCCAAGTAACAACATTAATTTTTTTTTCTGTTTCTGTATAAAATATACTACTTCTATATCTGGGACAGAAGTTCAATAAACCAATTTAACCTGAATTAGCTAAATCTGATACTACATCCATCCAGGCTTATCTTAAACCAGTTCTGGACATTTTGAAGGCAATTTACATGCATTGAACTTCTGTTGTGCTGCAGACTTGAACTGGTTTCCAATCACTTGGTTTTTGTGTAATTTCTGTCCCTAGCTTTAGGATGCAAACCTACTTGCATAAGTGAGGACCCACTGAAAAATCTAACTTCACTGTATATGCCCCACCTTAATAGAATGTATGGATTCAATCTTTAATTAGCAAGATGTAAGAGTCCAGGCATTTTAAAATCAACAAGATTACAGCTTGACAAGAAAAGAAACAGGAAATAGGACAGGAGGAAGATGGTGACTGAAAAAGGGATGATTGACTGATGTATACTCCTTTCTCTTGCACAGTACACATTAGAACCAACATGAATAAGAAAAGAAGTGAAAGGGAAACGACAATAATAATCAAATCCCATAGGTAATGTCTATAATACACTACCTATGGGGCAGGGGTGAACAAAAAAACCAAACAGGAGATGAACAAAAACAGGAGACTTTGAAAAAGCAGAGCAGGATGTCTTTCCCACCTATACTGCACTGAATACAAAACAGTAGACCATAGCTATTTAAAGGTGTTTGACACAAAAAACTTATTATGGAGCTAAGAAGTTAATCCTATTTTGAAGGCCATGCCTTCTATTCAAACTGCTGGCTGAGTCTTTACCAGCAGTGATGATGTGGAAGAGTAGAGGCTGCAAAAAGGACCAGCAATAAAGGAAGCTGGCATTCCTATGGCAGAGAGTTTTTACACAGAAACAGGAAAAAGTAGCTATTGTTTCTGTTGTCTCAGACCTTCTTCCCAAGCAATGAGAGCAGCAGCAGAAAAAGGAAAGAAGAACAGTGAGGAAGGTGCACGAGCAGCACCAATCATACTAAATCCGAGCCAAACTGTCAAATAATGAATTTTCAGAGCCAATTTCCATTTTGGTGCTCCACAAACCCACTTCATACAATTTGGAACAAACCAAAGCGTGAGTAGAAAATTGATCTAAGACAACATAAAAATAAAACCATGATGCTTAAAAGTACCCACCTTAGAAATAGTAGTAGTATTTCTTGATCCAAGCATATTCCCTTATTCCAGGGAATAAGGGATTTCCTATTTCATAAAAGGGATGACTAGACTAACTGACAAAGCTATAGTTCACTGTATTCCTAAACAAGGTCCCCTTCCCAGTTCATGTTCCAACAAATTTAAATAAATGCTTCAAATCAAACTGTGTAATTCAAACTGTTCAAAACTCCATGCAAGCTACAAAATAATTAGCATTTTCTTTAATACCTCTGTTTCACCAAGGCTTGACATTTCTTCTTCATTAATTAGCCACTCAAGGTCATTTTCAAAATCATCCTCATATTCTCCATTTTCTGCTGAATCACCAGCATCTGTAGAGTCACCAGAGTCTGTCTTCTCGCTCATTTTGGCTCTGTGTTTAACGCTACAATAAGGGAAAAAACACTGTTTTAAGACTTCAATGGATGTAGAAAAAGGCAACGTTGATTCCTATGGGATATAGGTAAGAAGGTGGGCAGTACCAATATAATCACTTAGACTCTTCTATTGTACTCAAGAACATAAAAATTATAAGCACATTTTAATCCCTTCTAAGACACGGAAGTACTTCCACCACAATTTCTAAAATGGGGTTTGATGTACAGAAAAGTAAGGTAATTCACTCAGTCTTACAGCAAGCAACTCCCAGAGCAAAAAGAACAACCACGGATTTCCCAACATCTAGTCTTCTCTTTTAATCACTAGATCTTTCCTGAATGCATATTTACAGGACTGATGCCTCTTTGTGCTCCCATTCCAATGTTCCAATGGTTTAAAACAATTCTTATGCATTAAAATTAACAAAAGGAAAGAGCTGGAACGTTCAATCCCAAAGTCCTTTCACTGCTTGCAACAGAGCACATTATCTAAGTTTTACATGAAAATATTAAAAATGAGAAAGTCCAGAGGCATAAGACCCTTGACAGGAAAATCCTATGGAAGTCAAAGAGAGTTCTGAACACAGAACAAAATCAGAGTCTAGGGGTGTGTCCAGACAAGCGTGCACATGCGGTTTGTGGCACTGCAGACCCATCTGCGGCACTGCAAACCACATGCAGGGCGCATGCAAGCATTTGCCATGGTGCTGATTTGCAGCACAGAGGGTTTTTCTGACACTGGGAAATCCTGGTGTCAAAAAAACCTGTGCCCAAAAAAAACCAGATCAGCGCATGTGGCAGCAGCGTGCACCGCCCGAAACTGGAGCCTGGATAGCCAGAGCCACACTTCAGCTACTGACCAGGCTCTGTGCCCCTGAATCACCACTCCTGGAGCCCTGGGAGGTCCCTAGGGCCCCAGATAAGTCTCCCCTACCAGACCCAGGGCAGCATGCCATGCACCATAGCACATATGCACAGGCATTCCCCAGGGACAAGTAGGAGCGATACAACTACGTGCCGCTGCTATTTGTCTCCGGGAAAACACATGTGCATGCTTGTCTGGACACACCCTAGATGACCATTTCATATTTTTAAAATGTATATCAAAGCAAATAAAGGAATGCATTAATCTGAACAGTACTCATGAAAAGAAGATGGGTTACCTGTAAGGGTGCACCAATAGAGAATTTTTGGTCTGATACCGATGGCCAAATTTTAACGAGCCATATCGGCTGATACCGATATGCAGCCGAGCAGCTTTTAGAGCAACGTCCAGCTGGTAAGTCTGTTGTGGGGGGGAGGGGAGGGAAGGGGTGTGGAGGGGGGCAGATTGAGAACCCCACAGTGAGGGAGGGAGTGGGGCAGGGGCAAGCACTGCACATCCGAGGTGGAGCAGAGGAGCACGTGGGGCGGGGATGGCAGCTCCTACCAGTGCATGCACCCTGGGAGGGCATGGGGTTGTGCTAGGGGTGTGCAAAGCAGGCTGTATTAATTCAATTTGGATTTGACCCAATTTAGGGGACAATGATTCAATTCGCTAATTTGGATCACTGCCCCGATTCAATTCGGCCAAATCCAAATCTGAAGATTCCATTCCGATTCAGAGAATCAACGATTCAGCCATAGACACAGCTTTAAATGTTTTTCCTACATACCTCGGGGTACCAGGCACGGCTTGTGAATGCTGAGATGGTGGGGTGGATGGAGCATCTCACACGAGCATGGGGGGGCCCCCCCACATGCTCGGCAGTGGACCCGGAAGAGGACTGGAATTACTTCCAGTCCACTTTTGGGTCCACTGCTGAGCATGTGGGGGACCCCCTTTGCCCCCCCCACCCCGGCTCAGCAATCGGCCATGGGGGGACCCTGGGAGCCCCCACAGACCCAGGAGGCACCAGTCTCCAAGCTGGAGGGGGGTGTCCCTTATACACTCCACAGTGGACCCAGAAGTGGACTGGAAATACTCCAGGTCCACCACCGAGTGCACTGGGGACCACCCCTATGCTCCTGTGGGATGCTCCATCTGCCCCACCATCTCAGCATTCACGAGCTGCCTAGTACCTTGAGGTATGTAGAAAAAACATACAAAGCTGTGTCTGTCCGAATCATCGAATTTCTCCAAATCGAATTGGAGACTTCCGATTTGATTCGAAGAAATTAATGGGTCTCCTGATTTGATTTGGATTTGGAGATTCAGCCGCCAAATCCAGCTGAATCTCTGCTGAATTGAATCAGCGACTGAAGTTTCGCACTGCCCTAGTGTGTGCCCCCTGGGTCTGCACACAGGGAGAGGGTGGGCTGCCACTGCAGGCTGGGACCGGGGCAGCACCAAGCTCTTCCCAGTAGGCGGCTGGGCCGGGCTGTGCTCAGGGCGGGCAGCGGCAGCATTAGTAAAGGGGTTACGAGGGTGTCTTCAGCCACCCCAAAATTCACCGTAGCCCCCCCAACCCTCCCTCCCAGCTCCGCCACTGCCCACCCTGAG